CCCAAAGTCAGGATATTTGAATGAAACTTGGCAACGTAAAAGATTCCTCCTTGCTAAGCAATGCACTGGATCAATTTGTCTCAAAAATTTAAGTAGAGAACTGGATTTATTAGTCTAATAAATCCAGTTCTCTACTAGTAAAAGCATGCACACTTTGTAAAAGAAAATAAGATCGTCTCTGTATATCCATTGTTGGACAGTGTCCTATTGTGTGGTAGATTAAGATGATTTAGATAATATTATTATAGTTTACAAGTCCTGGGAATATTTCGCATGTGTAGGCAACAACTCATACTATAAATGTAACAGATATTTACCCCCCCCCTTCTCTCTCTCTCTCTCCCTCTCTCTCTCTCTCTCTCTCTCTCTCTCTCTCTCTCTCTCTCTCTCTCTCTCTCTCTCTCTCTCTCTCTCTCACACACGCGCGCGCGCGCGCGCACGTACACACACACACAAACACACACTCACATACACGTGCGCGCACTCACGCACGCACGCGTGAACGATAACAATGAATAAACGGGACTATCTTCCCAGACTGGACTAAATAAGTACCATACTCTTAAACAATCTTAATGCCTCACTTTTCCTAACAGAGCACACAGGACCAGTCCAAGTGTGTGCTTTCCCAAGAAGGGGGAATAGGCTTTCATAATGCAAACACAATGTCATACCACTTCTTAGATGTTTGCTTTTCTGGTTCTATTCTTCTCTCATGCTATTAAGCAAATAAAAATGACTACCTGTATCGTATTGTGACTAAAATGCAACACAAATGCAATTTATCAAGGCCCCCGTTTAGTTTTCAAGTATCCCCCGCCCCCCCTTTCCGGTTCACATAAGCGGGGCCTCGTTCGTAGCCCCCGAGGCGACTGATGGCTGATGACGTCACTCAGTGGAAATTTCCCAGCCGCCGGTCGTTCACCCATCACGCACAAATGGCAATGTCGCTTTTCCCTTTGTTACTCCCGCATTTTTAAAGATTACGCCAAAACCGCTAAACACAGAAGCACGAAATTTTAAGGGAATAAAGAAAAATGGTGTACAACGTATCAGTCAGTTTGACAAATCACAGCTCCGAAAAACTTCAAAGCACACCACATAAACCACTTTCGCAAACGTTTTCGACTGCTTCTTGGATGGGTACAAAGTTGTCAAACTGCATACTACGAGATTGACCTCTTTTTTTTGATTGGCAGCCAAGTATCATTCATATCCATTCACGAGAAGCAGCGTGAGAGCCAGTTGAAGACAACAACCTTTGCGTTAGTTCGTCCCACGAAAAACCCCCGCGGCAGGGGCCAAAAATCGGCAGAACAAAACACGCTCGGTGGACATTGCTAAGCAATGTTGTATCTAGGTCTCTGATAACGGGAAGTGAGAAATAAACAAGAAAGGAGAGAGACACTAAAGCAAGCATACAAGCAATTTTTTTTTTAAATAGTAGAGGGTTTTACGGCGCACGCAACTGCATAAGGTCATATGAGCGCCAAGAGGTGGGTGTCAACAGAGACGTCTTTACAGGGAATCAGATTTACTCTGCTCACCTCTCTAGCTTCAACAGCTGAAAGGTCTGCTTCGACTATCAAGGCACCTCAAGAGAGTGACAAACATACAAAAGAAGTAGAGGAAAGCAAGCAAGCACTCGAGCACACACATACACAAGGAGACAGAGAGAGGGAGAGCGGGAAATCCAAGAATACCGTAGGCCTAGATCTACTTATGTATTCGTGGGTCAAAGGTTCAGTCAATCATAGCCCGGTTTACGCCCTCTGCGTAGTCGCATGTAAGTTAAAGGTTTCTCTACTTTAACTTCCAGTTCGTCGGGTACAATCGCGGCGGGGTTGTATTGTGCACTAAAACCATAAAGCGACCCAACCCGATCCCGTATATGTGGGCAACCCCTATTATGCCGAGATCTATTTTATTACAAAACCCACCTCATCCTTGATGGAACATAAAAAGGAAGTGGCTATTCTCATCCGGGGTGAGAATAGAAAAACGATCTACCTCTCACCCCGGGTGAGACTTGCCAGCGTAGGCTATTCTCACCCGGTGCGAAACAAGACTTGCTTTTCCTCATTTTGGAATACTGTCGGTGTGGATGATCAAATTGACAAAAGCCAAGAAAAAATTACGTTATAGCACAAAAGTAAGCTAATTTGATCGTCTTCAAAGATGCTATGGCTATTTCACTGTTCGAATCGAGCCGAACTACGCGGGTCGCCATTTTGTTTTGACCGGAAGTTCTCGCAAGATCTACTCCTCCCCTCTCTCTCTCTGTCTCTTTCTGAATACTGTCTATCGGTGTGGACGATCAAATTGACCAAAACAAAGTTAAAAAATGATGTTAAAACACAAAAGTAAATTAATGGCCACCTCTATTCTCACCCGGGGTGAGAATAGTGCAGGCGAGTCTTTTGGCTATTCTCACCCGATGCGCGTTCACCGTTATAGCCTAGATCTAGGCCAACAAATTTTGCGTTCACCCTAAACTCTAAACTCTAAACCACAGAATTCTACACTGTGATAACAGAAAAATTGTAGAATTCTGTGCCGTGAACAAACGTTCCATTACAACTGTAGCCTACTAAAAGCGTGCAATTTTGTCTGTGGGTAGTGGAGAGAGAGAGAGAGAAAGAGAGAGAAAGAGGAGTAGCGCGACCGGTCAAAACAAAATGGCGACCTGCGTAGTTCGGCTCGATTCGCAAAGTTAAATAGCCGTAGCATCTTTGTAGACAACCAAATTAATTTACTTTTGTGTTTTAACATCATTTTTTAACTTTGTTTTGGTCAATTTGATCGTCCACACCGATAGACAGTATTCAGAAAGAGACAGAGAGAGAGAGAGAGGGGAGGAGTAGATCTTGCGAGAACTTCCGGGCAAAACAAAATGGCGACCCGCGTAGTTCGGCTCGATTCAAACAGTGAAATAGCCATAGCATCTTTGAAGACGATCAAATTAGCTTATTTTTGTGCTATAACGTAATTTTTTCTTGGCTTTTATCAATGGCCGCCGTTATTCGGACTCGGGTCCGGAAAAAAGGAAGTGTCTTCGTTCTATAGATCTAACGTTCAGTGCTTCCAATTTTCCGCCATTTTTTAGTTTCCCCCACACCTTATTTGCCGATCCAATGCCCGCCGCCTCATTGATACGCCCCCCCCCCCCCCCCCCCACGTTTCCCACTTTCTTTGTTGTAGAAAAAGGTAAAATTGAAGATAAGCAGACCACCTCGCACCTGCATATTATGAGCTGTGTCAAAAAAAAAAAGACAGATTCGTTCAAACGTTCAAATACACAAGCCTGTGTCATATTGATTGTTTACCAATAAAAAGTTGTGTTGCTGTGTAGAGCTGAGCATACGGCAACTTTTGATTCCATAGACCAGTGCACAATTCATTACGTAGATCTACGTCAAGACTAGCTTATTATTGTAATAATGATCAGTTGCCGGGGGAAAAAATACTGACGCGTATGCGACGTTCAAAGCCCGGACCGATAGTGCCCCACCCTCCCCGACACGCACACAGCCACACGTGTGCAGGCCGCCCATCCGACCCCGACACACGCTAACGAGCCATCTTTAATTGCTTCTGATGACCTCTTGACAAATAAACATTTTTATTAGAAGCGCTTTAACTTTTCAGGCCGGCCTCAAATTCATCATAAGATTAAAACTCGGCTCCGTCACAAAACGCCTTTTTGCCCGAAGTGATCCCGGTCTCTACCCAGCCTGAGGCGAGTCACGAGTGAGGCAGGACAGGAAGCCGGATTCATGAGTCACAGGAAGTCGGAAGTGATGTCATGCTGGACAAGAATCAGAGTCCGAATAACATTTTTTCATATTCGGACTCGAGTCCGAATAATCACTTCGTTTATCAATTTGATCATCCACATCGATAGAAAGTATTCCGAAATGAGGAAAAACAGGTCTTGTTTCAAACCCGGTGAGAATAGCCTACGGTCGCAAGTCTCACCCGGGGTGAGAGGTCGATCATTTCTATTCTCACCCCGGATGAGAATAGCCACTTCCTAAATTAATTTGGTTGTCTACAAAGATGTTACGGCTATTTAACTTTGCGAATAGCGGCTCGCCATTTTGTTTTGACCTGAAGTTCTCGCGCTACTCCTCTCTCTTTCTCTCTCTCTCTCTCTACTGCCCACAGACAAAATTGTACGCTTTTAGTAGGCTACAGTTGTAATGGAACGTTTGTTCACGGCACAGAATTCTACAATTTTTCTGTTATCACAGTGTAGAATTCTGTGGTTTAGGGTGAACACAAAATTTGTTGGCCTAGATCTAGGCTATAACGGTATACGCACACCGGGTGAGAATAGCCAAAAGACTCGCCTGCACTATTCTAATTCTCACCCCGGGTGAGAATAGAGGTGGCCACATAAAAAATAGTAGGCCGAAAATAGTAACCCACCGCCCAAACAGCCTACCCAAATCTATTCAGATAAGGCAGACAGCATAAACACCACACAACCACACCTTCCTCTCTACGTTAGTCACTGTTAGCGGCCAGTTTCCTGTTAATTTTTACCAGTTACCAAAAATCAAAATAGTCACACTTCAGTACAAGATATTGATAACATTTTTTGACATCTCTGTCTCTGCATCCAAATGTGGATACCAAGCATACTTTTACTAATGGAACATATTGCTACTACTGCTGGACTGGACAGTCCGTTACAGTTCATTTACTAGACGTTGTTGTGGTAACTGTCGCAGTTACTGATATTCAGATATTGCAAACGAGAAAACTGCAGGCGGCAAGGTAGATCTAGATTCTAGGTGGTGAGGGGAAGCAAAAGGCAAAAGAGTGCAGCAGCGTTTTCAACGGATGTGTCAAATATCACCATGCAAATCAACAGAACAGCTTGAGATATTCAATGCATACCTTTGCATATGAAGTCATGCTTAACACTCTAAAGAAGAGCGCAGGAGTATTTACAAAATATACAACTGCAATGAAGCATGCAATCAGTACCCTACCTACATCTTAGACGTTCACTCTCTGGCTGAACGCCATTGATGATAACACTACACAAGTTTGTTCCCTATTGCCAGGTTTATTTAGTCCTTGATGCCAACACAAAAGGCAAAAATTCCGCAGGCTATTTCCGATGCAAATTGAAACAGCAATTATTACATTTTACTAAGGAAGTGTTGTTGTTGTTGTTTTTTCATCTTATTAGCTTTATTAATGAATTTGCTAGTTTAAAGCTCGTCAAAAGAAATCGCTGGATGAAACCTTTAAAAAGCCTTGCGGATAAGAATAGGCCCACGAATGCCCGTTTATGAAAAGACTGACAACTCTTTGAGTTGGAACAATAAAAAGGAAGTACATAGCCTATTTGACTGAAGAATCCCACTTCAATAATCAACGCTTTGAGGTACAAACAGGTCGCAACGACTTAACAAGCCGAGTGGGCTCTTGCACGGGTAGTTCAGTGTGGAGCTTGGCTAACATTGGCTAGAGGAAAGAGTTTTTAAAAGCCGCCAAGTTGGCAAATCAATTGGGTTTGTTGGTTCCGGTGTGGAATAGCAAGGCCGATTTATAAAGCTTGTCCACATTTTTTCCCAAGCGAACGTGTCTAATAATAAACCCGATACACCCAGGCAAGGCAGGGGTTGCTGCCATTGGCCTTGCTTGAGCGTGCGTTCCGTTGTTAAGCTGCTTGTAAAGGCTTCCCAAGAGCTGCCACATGACAATACAACTAGAATCTCGTTGCGCAGCTTACTCAACGAAACGTCTAAACCTCTTTGCAAAACGCCATAGATTAAATCTAAATAGGTCTACAATAAATTTATCTCAGACTATCATCAACAAGACCCCAAAAGTCGAGAGAGCGAGTAGCGTTTTGTTCATGCAGCCTAAAATCTAATAATGACTGTTTTACTCAATAGGAATCAGGCTTAAAAAATTAAAATGTGTGAGCACGCATATACTAAAGTGCTAGAGGAATAGGTCATCACAGCCAATCTCATATTAGATATAGATTTCCTAATTTTAAAGAGTTTCTTCGATGTTTTGCAAATAAATAAGGAATGGTGAATTAAAATATGTAATAAATTCTGTCGCAAAACTGATTTTTTAAAATCCTGCAGTTTTGCAGAGTCACAAGATGGCTTTCCATAAGTCCAACCTCTATTTAGCCTATTAGATTTCTTTCTATTGTTGAACTTAGCCATAACCCCAGAAGCTTATATTATGATATAATGTTAATTATTATCATGACATCATAAGAGTTATCCCCGTAGGCATACTAGTATACTACATCTATCAATATCATGACATATCCAGACCTCTCCCCTGAGATTTTATTCATCTTTTCTTATGCCTCTAACTCATTTTGCCGCCTTACACTGTTAGTGAAACTACACAAAAAATATTAGCTAAAACTCTTTTTGTTAATGCATGCAACATTTGTAAAAAGCAATAGCCTAGTTTATAAATGTTTTCCATTTTGAGGCCTATTTCAGTCATTTAAATTCTGTCTTCGCTGAATTCAGGGATCCTGTCTGAAACTGCTAGGCCCAGCCTTTTAAACTTGTTCTCACTCAACATTGGTTAGGCCTACATCTATACGTTGATGTGTTTCGTAATATAGGTAAAATGAAAATTGTGGTGGTTTTATTAAATTTAGGTAATAAAATCTCAATTTAATGAGCTCGTCTTTTTGCATCCCCGAATCCAAACTAAACAAGCACAATTTGGCGTAATATTATTTTCAGGCTGAGAATTTTCAACAAATCCGGGGATTTTTTTTTTTCATTATCTGGAAACCTCACTTCCGACTTCCTTTTTCTCCACGCCGTTCATCATGCCTGCCGTATGTACCTTGCTCAGTTCATTTTATTCGATAAAAACTAACTTATAAGAGATATGCCAAGTCTTTGGTACTTATTTTAGCAAACCGGATAATGTATATTAGTAAGGGTTATAGTTAAATTTCGATTTTTTTGGTTAGTGTAGTGTATTCATGGCGTAAAGCTCTGCGCCCGGAACAGCATCCAGCAGTAGACTTGACTGAGTAGATTAGGCTCTTAGCAGCCACAGCCTCCTCGTGCCTCCTTAGCAGCCCTCGTCCTGCGGTGGCCGGGTTGGTGCTTTTTCGGTAGTTCCCACCCCCCTTATTTGAGGGTAGATCTAGATCTACATCTTGATCTGGCTGGATTGTACTTTACCGACTTTACCGGACCACCCGTCTCGGCCCGTGATTACTACGCACGCCTAGCCTAACTACTAGTACTCTGAGTGCGGACAAAAGGTAGTTCCGCGGGCGACTTCGCGCAGGCACAGCGAAGTCAGCGGCGACTGGCGAGGTGAGCGAGAGGTGGTGGTGGTTGAGAGTGGGCAGGGGATTTAACTTTTTTGGTGGACCACCGTGTATCATACCAACAGTGGGGTGGGGGGGGGTTCAGGGGGGCTTGCCCCCCTGGAAACTATAATAAAGAAAACACACAAAAATGCGAAACAATAACATGAGCGGACAGTCGTGTTTACATATCAATGGGGGGGTTTCAGGGGGGCTTAGCCCCCCTGGTAACAATAATTTAAAGACACTCACACACACACATATAAACAATAGCATGATAAGTCGCGAGCAGGGCCAATAATGGGGTTGCAATTATGCAAATGAGCTCTCGTGCGCATCTCTAGCCCTCCATTGTACTTTGCCGGACCAGGAGTAGGCCTAGGGCCTAGGCCAAGCCAGCAGAGTCGCGAGCAAATAAGAATAGTGGACCACGTGATTAGATTGACCAATTAGCCTCAAGGTGTCAGGGTCAAAGGGCACAGTGGCACGGTCGTGATGACTGAAAAACCCGGTAAGAGACGGCAGTCGATTGCTGGCAGTTGAAGAGTGAGGACGTAGAAAACTGAGTAGGAGAGTGAGTAGGGGAGGTCGGAAACGAAGAACAGCGGACCACAAGGCACCAGGGGCGCCACAGCGAAAGTAGTTCCGACCGGTGGTCCGGTAAAGTACAATCTTACCCTTGATCTAGACAAGATCTAGATTTTAGATATCTAGAGTAGATCTACATCCTGTGGTGCGATATACATAGGCCTACAGTAAGCTATCTTGTGGATATCTCTGGTGAAAGTGGCTATTCTCACCCTCCCGGAAGTTCTCGCAAGATCAACTCCTCCCCTCTTCTCTCTCTCTCTCTTTCTGAATACTGTCTATCGGTGTGGACGATCAAATTGACCAAAACAAAGTTTAAAAATGATGTTAAAACACAAAAGTAAATTAATTTGGTTGTCTACAAAAAGATGCTACGGCTATTTAACTTTTCGAATCGAGCCGAACTACGCGGGTCGCCATTTTGTTTTGCCCGGAAATTCTCGCGTTACTCCTCTCTCTCTCTCCACTGCCCACAGACAAAATTGTACGCTTTTAGTAGGCTACAGTTGTAATGGAACGTTTGTTCAATGGCACAGAATTCTACAATTTTTCTGTTATCCCAGTGTAGAATTCTGTGGTTTAGAGTGAACGCGCACCGGGTGAGAATAGCCATAAGACTCGCCTGCACTATTCTCACTCCGGGTGAGAATAGAGGTGGCCATCTCTGGTAGATCTAGATATAGATATAGATCTAGATTATATCTAGATCTAGTTACAGGTCGATCTTCATGATTTTTTCACCAGAAGTTAGAAAAATTTCCTCTCTATACGATGTAGCGCATTACTGTAACAGCAGTTTAAAATTTCTATATGTTGTGGTGGTGTTTGTTTGGTAACGTGTGTCTGTTTTGGTGCGCAAAGTGTCTGTTTAGTTTAGTTTAGTGCAACATGTCGTCTGGTTGGGTGCGCAAAAGTACCATAAGAACTATGGTTTTTAAATTTTAAAAATCCATTGATAAATTTTAAAAGTTATTGGGATTTTTGTTTGCAAAATGTTGGAGGACCTTTATATAGGAAAAGGTAAATTTTTACTTTCACTCCCGCACACAGATGCACTGTTTCAGGGGTCAAACTGCTGTACTGTTTGCTGCAGATCACACATAAAGCCACTAAAACTGTCGCAAATCAATTATTTTCAAGACAGTTTCAAATCTAACTGTAAAATATCAAATTATGGGTGTAAAAACGGGGGCATGCCCCCCTGTAACCCCCCAGATTTTCTTTTACCCCAGTGGGGCAGGCCCCCCTGGAACCCCCCGATTGGTCCAAAGCATGTCTATCTCGGTTAAAAACAATCAAATATTTCAAAAACCATTAATTTGCGACGGAAATGAAGTTGATATTCGTGTTCAGCGCATCAATATTTAGTAGAAAATAGACAACTGGTAGCTGAGTGTGAGACGGGAGGGAAAGTAAAAAAAATACCTAGGAAAAAATCGCCAAAATGTGGGACATGTTTTGATGTATTTTGAGGAAAAACTGTTCATAAGTCAGTACTGAATTGGAGCATATGAATGAAACTTGGCATCTCCATGTTATTTTTAGTGCAGAATCTAGTTCTGCTATCACTTTTTCGATGTCTTCATTACTTTGGATCTTAAAGACTGATATTTGCGTAAAATTTGTTGAATTGTGTGACATCGTTTTTACAGCGGCCACCTCTATTCTCACCCGGAGTGAGAATAGTGCAGGCGAGTCTTGTGGCTATTCTCACCCGGTGCGCGTTCACCCTAAACCACAGAATTCTACACTGTGATAACAGAAAAATTGTAGAATTCTGTGCCGTGAACAAACGTTCCATTACAACTGTAGCCTACTAAAAGCGTACAATTTTGTCTGTGGGCAGTGGAGAGAAAGAGAGAGAGGAGTAGCGCGGGAATTTCCGGGCAAAACAAAATGGCGACCTGCGTAGTTCGGCTCGATTCGAAAAGTTAAATAGCCGTAGCATCTTTGTAGACAACCAAATTAATTTACTTTTGTGATTTAACATCATTTTTTAACTTTGTTTTGGTCAATTTGATCGTCCACACCGATAGACAGTATTCAGAGAGAGAGAAGAGGGGAGGAGTTGATCTTGCGAGAACTTCCGGGCGGGTGAGAATAGCCACTTTCTTTTACAGCGACGCGATCACCCCTTCTAAAACTTAGTAAAGCGCTATTGGGAAAACCTGCGATGTAGTCATCAGTGACCTATTTGGTTATTTATAGGCAGCCAATCACATGCCGGCACCTCGCGTTTGGAATGCGTGATCTAGTTTGCAGATCTAGTGTTTTATCAATGGATGGGTGGTAATTTTAAGTTGGTACGGAAAATCTGCTAAACGCAGAGATCTGAAATTTTACAGCAATAAAGAAGACATGTGGGGCACTTGTGTGGTCGGCGATCAACCCGCAGCTCCGCTTAGTTTTCGAACCGCAGAGGAAATTCGCACAAAAGGGGCAATATCTCCGGTTCTAGTAATCGTTCGGGATTGTACGCTGGCATGTCGTTAGTTTAACCTTTCCTCTGGTTGGTTGCCGAGTTTCATTTATTTTCGTCAAGGAGTTTTCCCGTAACTATTCTTAGAAGAGAGTCACTTCTGATTCCAAGCGGCCAAAAAATTACCCCTCGCGCGGAGGCCGATTTCCGGCCCAAGGCGCAGCAGGCGATTGGCATTGCTAGATTATTTTCCTTATTAATTCTTTCTTAAAATTTACAGAATCGCATAATTTCACTTTTTTGGGCTCGGTTTGCATAATTTCATTTATTTATTTTTTGCATAAAACTGCGAGGTCAGTGGTGAGGAAAATACCAATTTCTCGGGTTTCATTTTGACGAGCGCCCGATTTCACCACGATGCCTCACATGTTTTAAATTCCATCTATCACAGCATTGTTACCTCTCCGTCCTGCACCATAGAAGTGAGAGGCATGGTATGCCTAGATAATCTAGACTGGGCTGGCCTATCACGCGATGCGTTCTGCTTGTCTGCGCATGCCACACCCTCTCCTCTCATTCGCTCCGGCCTTCATTATTGGTTCGCGTGGGCTCGCCCATTCTTTGTTTCGCTTAAGAGTAGGCTTCGGCCGCCACCCGGGCAAAATTCAAAATTTCCTACCAACGAAAAAGTATTAGGTGTGTCCCGCGCGCTCATATGACCTTATGCAGTTGCGAGCGCCGTAAAACCCTATACTAAACAAAAAAAATTCTTTGTTTCGCTGGATCACCAACAACTTTCTCAACTGACGAGGTTTTAATATGTTTAATTGGTCTGTGGGCTGTGCACAGCAGCAGCAATAATCCGTTATAACAGACTCGCGTGACTGATAACGCAATAGCAGTATTTTATTTACAAAGATAAAGAGGGGGGAAAACGGGGTTTTAGAACAGTGTCTTTATAACAGACTTCTCGTTATTTCAAAACTCGTTATAAGTGGATTCCACTGTACCACCTTTCACCAACTGGGTTATGTACAATCCTCATTCAACTAATGTAAAATTGCCCTGCTTGGCCGCCATAGGTACACATTACACAAACACCTTGAGACGTAGCTTCTTGCAAGATAACCTGTCTTTATTCTTACATTTTTTGCGACCTATGTGTGAGTGTTCTTCAGCCAAGTACCTTTGTTTTCTCTGTTGCCCGTTGGCAAACATTTTGAAAATAAAAATTTGTCATGTTCTTTGTTATAGAAAGCTGTGAAACGCCCAGGAAAGCCTCAGTCTGCCAAGGGTGGCAAGAAGAAGAAGACCACCTTGAGGTTCACAGTTGACTGCACACACCCCGTGGAAGATGGCATTATGGATGTCACCAATTTTGTAAGTCACGATCAGGGGTTCACTGTTCTAAAATTGTCAGGTCTATTTTTTATATGTTCTGCTATAATAATGTGATTTTGATGTGTTGACCCTGTTTGGTTCCATTGTTTGGCATACATGTTGCCAAACTGCTCAGGGGAAAACCCAAGTCTGTATCAATAGGAAACTATTCTTTGCCTACTTTCATTTTTCTTTACCAGGGGGTATGCCACCACAAACTGTAAATGGTCAAATGGCCTGAGTGCTTGCTGCTCCTGCCTTTTGTTTTGTGCTGGGTGGAGATAATGCAGCTGACTTAGTGTTTTGGTTAGGTTTTTTGTTTTTCCCCGTTCTTGGGTGGAGTGTTGCCTTTTGGAATTGGTATTGTAGACTGGACTGTTGCTGTACGTAGGTATCCCTTTCTTTTCATTTCAAATTTACTTTTTCCTGTCACCAGCCTGGCTCATGATTTAAGTGGCTAAACTGATGTAAAATGGTTATTGTGGGGGTATCTGTTTAAGTGTTCTTGCCTGTTCCAACCGCCTATCCTGTCATTACTATTCACTTGTGTTAGTTTCCTGCCTTTTGACTTACAAGTGGTCTTCTTTTTTTCAGCCTGGGTCAAAGTGGTTGTGTTGTGTGGTTGATGGGTGCTCTGTTGTGGTTTGCTCCTTTTTGCCTATCAAACATCTATCGTCCTGATCTCTCCTCCTCCTTTTCTATTATTGTTACTCTCTTGTAACACCTCTAATCTTCAGCACTTATATAATCTTATTGTGTTGCAAGTGCCGTAGAACTCTTTCTAAGACTAAAAGTGATTGAAGTTCTGGATTTCTTTTGATATCATCAGTCTTGTGGATTGAATATTTTGTGCATGTTCTTTGTTGTTACTGAAGAACATGACTATAGCGGGACCTTACCAGAATCACACACACACACCTTTGGGGGGGGGGGGTGACTATGTGTACTATGGTTTAACAGGGCAAGGAAAGGCCCGAACTTTATTACAGCGGGAATGGAACAAGCTCTAGCTGGGGGAGGGGGGTGTAGGTGGGCTCAAAACAGGCAGGCAGCGGTGCAGCGTTGTGATAGGCCAGTCCAGTGATGGATGAGGTGGGGCAGGTGGCGGAGAGACACGTTAAGTGTGCTGCTTCAAAAGTAATGTGTCATAGCAGTAGGCCTGGGCTATGTCAAAAATACAGTAAAAGAAGAGGAGAGTGTGTAGTGTGTGATTTTTCTGTAATTCCCCTTTGCCTACAGTGAAATTTTCTTTTGGAACTAAAAGTCCCACTATAGCCTTGTTCTACTGTATTTCTTTGGAAATTCACTTAGGAAAAAAATGCGGGTAGTTTGAGGATTCATTCCACTGGTAGGTCCTACTTTTCTTCTTCTTTTATTCTGTGTGTCTTCGTCCCTGCACTACATCATCACATGACAAATATTTTGTCGATGTGTTTCTCTTTACTCAAACTCAATCAAAAATCCCAATGCCCAACACTAGGGACATCTTCCCTAGTGATATTAGGGTCACCTTCCCTAATATTGAATGTGGTGGCTCTGCCACGACCCCTCTCTTCCTCGCACACAGGAAAAGTATCTGATGGAGAGGATCAAGGTTGACGGGAAAACCGGAAATTTTGGCACCAGTGTCGCCCTGGAGCGTCAGAAGAACAAAATCAACCTGACCAGCGAAATCCCCTTTTCTAAGAGGTAAGGAATTAGTTTTGCACATTCTTTATTGTGCATGGCTCGGTTCTCAGGATATCTGAAGGAACATGTTATAGTTATACAAAAGCAGGGCTGCCAACCATCCCGGTTTTTTCGTAATCATTACGATTTTTTAGCCTCACTATGAAACTCCAATCGTAAAGCGATTTATTACGATTTTTTCCGACAGCAGATTTTTAGCTATAAAAATATTTTGGGCTCTTTTTTTTATTTTACAAGTCTTAGTGCAGACTTGTAAATCGTCCGCCAATAGTCGAATAACCGCCAATCTCTAAATCAAAAAAAAAAAAGAAGAGGAACAGCTTGCCCACAATAATACCGTACACGAGTAGAAGCATACAAGCATTGCTGCCACGCTGCTGAGACCCAAGCAGTCTAAAAATTACTTATACTTTTGTTCGTTGTATATAGTAATTTGGAAATGAGAGCACTATTCCTTTAATGGGAAATTACTAATTTTCTTCACTAAATCTCTTGGCAATAAGTTAATGTTATAGAAACCTGCCAGATTGCGCATTTCCTGCCATCGGCCATTATTCCGCTGTGCCCCATGCATTCATTGCGTGTTCGTCTGCAGTAAATTTTTTTGCCTGCTGATTGATCAAAATCTGGCGAACTTTTTGTATCACTTTCCTCCTTTCTATCATTTACTCATTCCGTCTATCTACTGTCTTCAGAGGATTGTTGTCGCGGCTGGAAAATCTGCGCGTGGATCAAGTATATTGACTTGTGATCTTAGACAGAAAATTACTGTCAGAAAGAAACTTCTTTTTTTTTTTTCAAATTTATTGTCTAGATCTAGAGACATCAGTGCAAAGATTCTACGGCACGGGAACGCGATATGGGCGGCAATGAAAGAAATTTGTGCTGCTAAAATCAAGAATAATTCGAAGTGGTGTTCCGGGGTTGTGACTTGCGACATTCAGACGTGAAAATTGGGGTATATGCTGGGTAACAGTATTATGAAGGTACATATCTGTTCATTATTCCCAGGTTTGCCTGCCTTCTATCAATGGTGCGATGACAAATTAATTGAATTATAGTAGTAATGGAAGGGGAACCTGCTTTTAAACATTGCCAGCAATGGAAAGATATGTAGGTGAAGAAATCAAACAAGACAAAATCTTGGTGAAAAAATAAGTAGTATGGGTTGTTGGCAATCTCTTCAAACATGCTCCCAAATGTAGACCTGCATGTTTGCCGACAATCGCGAGCCGGCCGATGCTATCGCTAGGCCCACCTGTACTAGTCAATGTGGGAAGAGCGAGGCCTGGCCAACTGCCAGCGCCCCCTTTTTCTCCCGTCGGCTTTGTCGGCACTTTCATTTTCGTGCCGACGTCGGCGCTTCCGACATAATTGTCGGAACCTGAGTAGAACGAATACGAAAAAGTACGACGACCTAAATTATCTACTTTCAGTTTCGTGCTCGAGCGGCCATTTTGAATTTCGTTTGTTGACTGAGTGTTTAGATCATGTGGATTCTTTCAAGTCCGACTCACTTGTTCTACTTTAGGTCTAGATTTATAGATCATTATAGACCTCAATGGAGGATTCATATTCCAATTTCTATTGTGTCAAACCCTATTATAGGTTGTGCTGTAATATTAATGTTGGTAAAACGCATTTTATCAGGTGCGTGAATTATTTACTTAGAATAAAGATCTAATCTAGACTCAGCTGAGTCCCTCTGTTCGGAATCGGATGCGGATTTCTCGTTCAAGGCCTTTTCCTATTCACTTGTTCTACTAGATCTAGATTTATTTAGATCACTAGATCTATAATATAACTAGATTTATTTGGAGGATTCATATATTCCAATTCTATCTAAATTGTATCAAACTCTTTATAGCAATGTAGATCTAGACCATAATATTATGCTCCTTGTTTGTTTTGGGGTGTGCTTGCTTTTTTTTTTTGCTTTTTTTTTTTTACTTGTGCTGGCCTTTTTACATGAGGTCTGTTGCAGGTTCTTTTTTGGGTTAGGCCTAGGGTTAGGTCTCTTCTTTTGTGTTTGTTCGGGTGGTCGCTCGTTACTCGGAAGTCCCTCCTTTTATGACACCCACAATTTAAAAGCTCTTATCTTATAAGTTATTTGGGGGAGGGGGGGGTGCGCCAAATTTTCAGACAATCTGGTTGAGGCTCACATGCAAGTCTACAAATGCTATATTCGACCCTCTAAAGGTACTCATTTTCTATTTCTTCGGGGTTTCACCCCCTGAACCCCCACCGGAACGCTGTCCCTGTACCCTGCTTGGGGGGGGGGGGGGGGCACATAGGTCCCCAGACCCCCAGCGGAATGTTCCTTACTTTTCAGCTTCAGCTGGTGGTGGAACTGCTCTATAGATACAAATTAGTTCCAACGTATGCTTGGGTTGTGTGACATCTGTCCGACTGCTTCCTCCTATCTGGGCACATGCAATATATATTCGTGTCCTGAATGCATCGATAATGTATGTGTTTGTTTAAAATATGGCCTCTGGTTGGTCCCATAAGATGGCATTCTGTTTTTGATGTGTCGGTCATTATACAATGTATGATGTGCCGCCCTGACACAGTAAACCCAGTGGGTGGTTGGCGGGTGCCCTGTTGTAGTTTGCTTCTTCTTTCCTATCAAACATCTATCGTCCTTATCTCCCCTTCTTTTTTGTTTGTTACTCTCTTGTATCACCTCTAATCTTCTGGCACTTATTTGACCTTATGCAGTTGCGAGCGCTGTAAAACCTACTAAACTATTTAAAAAACAGTAAACCTATTCACTGTGGGTGGTTGGCAGGTGCTCTGGTGTGGTTTGCTTCTTCTTTCCTATCAAAAACTATCGTCCTTCTCCTCTCTTTTTTTTTTGGTGTTTGTTACTCTCTTGTTACACCTCTAATCTTCTATACTTATATGAACTTATTGTGTTGCAAGTGTCGTATAACCTATTCACTGAATTACCTTTTGTGGTTCGAAGTAGTCTTTTTTCTTGAACTTGAAGAATGTCATGCTGCTAATTTTGTCAAAATGTTTCGTTGGTGGTTGCCAGATGCTCTGGTGGGGTTTGCTCCTCCTTTCCTATCATTTATCAATCCGTATCTCTCCATTTTTTGTGTGTGTGTGTGTCGTTACTCTCTTATAACACCTCTAATTTTCGGCACTTATATGACCTTATTGTGCCGTAAAACTTTTATTTTTAAATCTTGTGGTCCTGTAGTGGGTAGTTTGGCGGGTGCTCTAGTGTGGTTTGCTCCTTCTTTCCTATTAAATGTCTGTCAGTGGGTGGTTGGCGGGTGCTCTGGTGTGGTTCTTTTTTACGATTGTTACTTTCTTGTAACACCTCTAATCTTCTGGCGCTCATATGACCTTATGCAGTTGCGAGCACCATAAAACCTCTACTGAAACTAAAACATCTTGTCACCCCCCGGGGCGGTGCCACTCACTGAAGTTTCTTTAATTTGGCCATTCCCAAAAGGGGGTCTAATATACAGTAGAATTGTAAATGGGCTGATCCAACAATGTCATGTTCAACATTGTGCCTGAACTACAACTGGGAACTGCTGCTTTTTATTTCCTACTCCTTACTATCGTCATTTTCCTCTACTTCTTTTGTATGTTTGTCACACTCTTGTCACCCGCTATTTCCAGGGTGCCTTGATAGTTGAAGCAGACTTTGTGCTGTTGATGCTAAAGAGGTGAGCAGAGTAGGTCTGCTTCCCTGTTAGGACTTCTCTGTTGACATCCACCCCTTGGCGATCATATGACCTTATGCAGTTGCGAGCGCCGTAAAACCTCTACTAAAACTTTTTTTAAACATCTGTCATTCTCATCTCTCCTTTATTGTGTTTGTTACTCCTTTGTAACACCTCAAATCCTCAGCACTTAAATGACCTAATTGTGTTGCACGTGCTAACTCTTACTAAAAATAATTTGAGGGGGAAATGAACCCTCAGGCCCTGTGATTAACTGTTTTTGTCTTGTCTTTGTTTCCCAGGTACTTGAAATATTTGACCAAGAAGTACTTGAAAAAGAACAACCTGAGAGATTGGCTCCGGGTTGTCGCTTCCTCCAAAGAGGCCTTTGAGCTCCGCTACTTCCAGATCAACCAGGATGATGAAGAAGAGGAGGAGGACTAATTTTTATTTATTCATCCTTCTTTCATTTCATGTTGAATATCCTTCTAATTAGAGGATGCAATCACGTGAATAAAGGGTTGGCTGGAACTTAATTGTTGTTTCTGATACTTTGTGTCGTTTTTTCGTAAAAATATGGGATTCAGTGAGAAAATGAAGTTTTGTTTTTTGTTTTTATTGTTTTTGTTGAAGTGCAGTTCTCTCTTTCTTGTCACTTGGAGGGAGGTTGCTACATCTGAAGGCTATCTCGCTTATTAGGGGACCAAGTTTTACCAAATATCACACTTACAACACGCATACAATTAGTAAAGAGTCTTAATTAAAATCCGCAATCAGTTTTGAGAAAAAAGTTTCATTTCCATGGATACTGTGGCCATGTTGGATTTTGTTGATGTCCTACTAATGAATACCACACTTATTGCTCATGGAAATTAATTGGTTGTTGTTTTTTGCATGCGTGTTAACAAAAATTAGAATATAAAATACAAATTTGTCTGTTGGTTTTTTTTCCTAAACGAATTGGACAATTTTTTATTAATTTTTTCCTGAGGTGTAGATCTAGTATTTAAGTTTGTGAAAAATGTGTGAACATCCACACTCCAGACACCACCAACAAAAATCTATTCCACGTATCACAAATTCAACATACAAATTTTTTGTATTAAGTTTAAGTTTCTCTTCATTCTGTGAAAACTTCATGGTTAAGTTTTTGGGGGTTCTTATGAGATGAAAGTTGTAGGAGAGGCTGAGGAGGCTAAATACGCAGACAACTCAAATTCCATAATTTTGAGCTGAATCGGGACTTTATTGGTGTTGTGGCGGTGCGCCCCCCCAACACTTTTAGGTTGTGCCTGTAAAGAAGTTGGCCTGCATAAATGTTCCATGGGTGATTGCAGGCGCTCTGGTGTGGGTCATCTTTATTTCCCCTTTCTTTTCTGTATGTTACTCTCTAGTTGCACAACACCACTGATCTTCCAATCCGATACTAAAACTAAATGTTCAAGTCAAATGAGGGCCAGTCATGGCCAATGTGTGCTCTTCTTGATCAAACCTTCATGAGATATTCTGAGTGAAAGGACAACTTGAATGGGAGTTAGTCTGCTGGGGAAACCAGGAATGTGTTGCTAAACCTCAAACCAAGATATCCGTAAAAATAGTCAATTCTTGTCGATTTTGAATTGTTCACGTACCAGGGGGATTGCCCATTCATTTTGGAAAATAATTCAAGAGCTGTGTTGTTGTTTTTTTACGACTTTGAAATATCTTTTTTCAATTTATTTGCATTTGGATAAATTAAATCGGTAATGGCGTAACTTTGAACGTGTTTAACTGTTCTTACTTTTCAACATTTTGTTACTTCGAAATGCAATATCTCATCTTCTAGAAATAATAAATTGAAAATTTTTAAGTGTTTAATAGTCAGGAAGATTCCAGCTCTCAAAAGCAGAACTCAAAATGGCCCAGAGGCAACATATCTCTGATTTCCTCAGACCAACTCGCACAGTAGGGCTATATACTATATGACAATAACTGCATTTATCCTCCACGCTCTACAGCGTGCTCATTGCGCTTTACAATTACAGTGAAGTCCACTTATAACGAGGCCTGTGGGTGGTTGGCGGGTGTTCTGGTGTGGTTTTCTTCTTCTTTCCTTCTATCGTCCTTATCTTCCCTTCTTCTTTTATATGTTTGTTACTTTCTTGTAACACCTCTAATCTTCTGGCGCTCATATGACCTTATGCAGTTGCGAGCGCCATAAAACTGGTACAAAAACCCAAAAAACGAGGTCTGTATGAAGACACTATTCTAAAACCTCGTTTTTTTTCCTTCTTTATCTGTGTAAATAAAATACTGCTATATAATGCAATCAGACAAACATGCGATAGGCTAGCCTAGATTATAATTATAAATATAGGGCTACCATCATGCCTCTCGCTTCTCCGATACAGGGATGGAGAGGTCACAGTCACAATGCTGTGGTGGGGAGAACGAATGTGCGACGTGTGCAAGCAGACGCAACAAACCACAGCGTGTAGGGGACAACACAGTGGGCGAGTTAACCCAGAGCCCTTTCTTTCTGATCGCCAACGCCGAGCTGTCAAAATACTTGGCGCTATAGAATGAGAAAGAAACCTGATTCGATTTTTGATCAAGTAAGACCTAGCCTTGAGGTCACGTTGAACAAAATCATCACCAGGGGAGATTACAAAAAGAAATAAACAGAACACCAAACTCATCGGTTAGGTCTACTTTAATATTTCCATTGAATTTATTGCTGGATGCCTTTATAACGAGAATCCTGGCATGACGCACATTTCGCACCGGTCCCCTCCCTCTCATTCTCATTATAACAGGATTCCACTGTACATGTATTATCAAATTACCTCAGCACACCTACTAAAACTAGAACTAGAACACTTGGCTTCCTGGGAAGCATACAGTGCAAGCGGCTGACTTTAGGAACGTATACCCCCTACTATCAACGAAAGGGTTAAATAAAAGCACTCGAATGCTAACACTAACCAGATCATAGAGTTATCTCCTTTTACTTTTAAACTTGTTTGTAGGTCATACTTGAAACTGGCATCTGCATTTGTTGCCATTTTTTGTCCAAAAGTTGCCATTAATTTTCAACTCTGTGACGGCGTATATTATAACGATATGTTGATAGAGGTAACAATCTAAAGCCCCAGAATTTCTTGTGCTCTGTTTTTAAGTTTAAGCATCCAGAATATCATTTGTAGTCACCCAGAGCTTAGACACGTGAAAAATAAAGGTTTCACAACAGAATGAAATCAAAATTAGAACAGCACCGATAAATAACCACAAACATTATTACGGCGCCTGTCCACCTATCCGAAGATTGACTGTTTTAAGTTTTAACCCTAAACGTGTGTAATTCAAGAAAAAGTAGGCCTACAAGATATTACATTATGAAATCACCTACAATTGGGTCGTGCCAGTGTCAGTATTTGGCCTTGGTGGAGACACGCTCTAACATAATAATACATTTATTTTTAAAAGAGTAGGAACAGCATCAAATTAAATGACATTAGGCTGTATAAACACAAAAAAGAAAAACACATTTTTAGAAAAATTAACACACCAATAAATTAAAAAACAAAAGAGGGAAAAATAAAAGACAGACAACAATGTAATTTAATGTAAATACACTTATAACGAGTCCTGAAATAACGAGAAGTCTGTTATAAAGACACTTCTAAAAACCCGGTTTTTTCCCCCTTCTTTATCTTTGTAAATAAAATACTGCTATAGTAGCGCAATCAGACAAACACGCGAGTCGCTTTTATAGTATAGCGGAATAATGCTGCTGTTGTGCACAGTGCATTGGCCAGTTGAGAAACTTGTTGATGATCTAGCAAAACCAATTTAAGTTTAACTTTTGAGGACCGTACACACCTCCTTGAGCGAAACAAAGAATGGGAGAGCCCACGTGTGCCAACAATGAAGGCCGCAGGGAATGAGTGGGGAGGGTGTGGTATGCGCAGACAAGCAGAACGCATCGTGTGATAGTGATAGGTCAGCCTAGTCTAGATTATTCCTAGGCCTACCGTGCCTCTCACTTCTCCGATGCCGTAGATGCTTGCTTGAAGAGTACACGATGGGGAAAACGGGCATAGTCACAAACTGGAAATTGTGAGGGTGTCAGTTTTAAAAGCTTGTGGATTTAAAATTATAAAACTTATGTGTCACGACGCCGTTGAATTGGGCGATCGTCAATTTATGGATGGAGTTATTGGTATCCTCATCCTAACCCTACGTACGCCCTGGGGTTGTCTTCTTCATATTTTACTTTTAGAATACTTCTAGTAGTACGAAGATCTCTTTGAGACTTTCAGTATTTCTCAAAAAATCCTTTTTACAGACTGCTGCTATGCAAAGCGTACAGATCGGAATCGGATTAACGAGTAAATTTTCTCTGTGGAAAGTGGTGGCCCAGGGTTCCCCACATCGTATGGATCCTGGATACGATAGTAAAACGCGACGTACAGATAGGGTTAAGTTAAAGGTTACCGTATTATTTTGCCTTACTTTCGGTGAAAAAAATCTCCATTTATCTTTGGTATAGGATAGGTGTACCTCGGGGTCTACCTAGCCAAAAGGATATGTGGACCTCGGGGTCTGCCAAGCGAAATACTACTAAATACTAGGTTTTAGAATACATGTAATGTGGACCCCGCAATCACCGTAGTGAAACAAGTAGGTTTCATAAGGGAAGACGTACACTCCTGGAAAAAAACGAATGGCTTTTACTTGTAGGCTACATGTATTCACTTTCATGTAATTGTGCAAGAAGTTCATAGGCAAATGAATGTAGACCTACTAAGGGCGAATTTGTAGACTTTTTCCGAAAAATGGGTCTCTGCGGTGGCCATCTTGGATTTTCAAACCATGTTTCTTAGTGCAGAAGAATTTCATAGAAAATATTGAAACTACAGCTTGAAATTACCTATGTATTTGGATTTATGTAAGGATTTTGACCTATCTTTAACTTTAAAAATAGAAAAGTTAGCACAAGGTCAATGGACATCCGTGAGATTCAGTTGACGAAATTTTGGGATACATGTTACGAAAAATTTGAATATTTCCACAAGTTACCAATATTTCCCAATTTCTTCACAAAGATCCCCAGTATAGATCTTAAATTTAAAGCACCCGTAGGTCAAATTTAAAACTTCTAGCTTCAGTAGTTTTTGAAAACTCCTTGCACCAAGGAGGTCACATACAGTGAAAACCTGATAATTGATATAACAGGGATGTCGAGACCAGAGAAAGAGTCCTGTCGTATCAGATCCCTGTTAACTCAGAAATGCAAGGGAAGTTAACATTTGTGGACTAATATAGCTATATTTATTTATGGGTAGTTTCCCTTGCACACCACAGCCCTCTCTCGTGGCTTGCGGACGACACATTTTACGCGTGCGTATAGCTAGGCGAAGTCTGCAGCTCACCACAGCCCTCTCTCGCTTCACCCGCAGCGTGTGGTTGCAGTGGCGTCTCTCTCTCTCTCTCTCTCTCTCTCTCTCTCTCTCTCTCTCTCTCTCTCTCTCTCTCTCTCTCTCTCTCTCTCTCT